AGACTCTCCCACATGAAAGAGAGAGAGAGAGAGAGATTCTTCTACTTCCTTAACAAAAGATAAAAAGGAAGAATATTATCAGTTTTATCTAAGCACATTGGATAAACTCATCATCCTTGAGAATTCTGATCAGTCTTTATTGCCTGTTAAAATGACAGCAAAGTTTCTTCCTAAGGAATATTACTATATTCCGACAATGCTTGGTAAAACCACCCATTACTATGAAAATATACTTAAAGAAACAAAAAGTATATTTGCTCATCATAAATATCGAGAAAAAGAATACAACTACTCTCGATTAAGAATATATCATATTATTCCATTAAATGAATGGAACTCATATGGAAACCCTAATGTTCCACAAAAGTTTAAAGAGAAAACTCAAATTGGTTCCCAACAATACAACTATTGGGACTATCAAGCTGCTTGGGAACATGTTCTGTATATTCAAAATCATCTTGGAAAACATTCATGGAGGATACGATTTATGAATCAAATGAGTCTACCAAATTGGTTTATTGAAACTTTCTGGGCTAAATTTGGAGCAATTAAAGAAATACTACCAAACGAGATCCTTAAAAAACAAGGAAGAAATTTATCTCCATGAGATATACTTCAAATATATATGGAATTTGGTCTCCATTGCATTATGCAATGGGATTGGGATTGCATTATCCAATGGGATTGGGATTGCATTATGAATAGTAACCTACCATCTTATTTTGCAAGAAGTATTTCTGTAAAATGGTATGATCGATGGAATATTACAAATTATCCGAATGGAAGAAAGAGCTTGTTACTCACAGACTATAGTACTGAATACAGATTAAAATCAAATCCTAGAAGATCTGATATGAAGACTATTCAAGAAAATATATATGAAAAATGCGTGCTACAATATCCAAATGCATGTGAAGAAAAGTTAAAGTCATTAACATATGATGAAATGCTTATGATAATATGATACATGTGTATCTTCTTCCATGCTTCAGGAGCTTAGCGATCCTCATGAGAGCTTGAGGATAGATGATTCTCATGATATCTTAAGAATAGAGATGTGGACGAAGTCGTTGAAGGTGGCAAAGGCAAAGATTACAGAAGAAACTATAGGAAGTATTTTGAGCTTCCAGCGATCGACCACACGTGACGTCGCGATCGACCGCAAACGTGTACAAATCCTGGAGATTTGGAAACTATTGGCGTCGACCGTACGTCGTGTGTGGCGACCGACCAAATCCTATTAAAGGTTTTGGTTTCTGTAGTTGGATCCAGTTGACCGCGATGGTCTCTGCGGCCGATCGCGACGATTTCTTGAGCCTTCTTGATTCGTTTGGGACTCTGTTTTCCTGTTTGATTTTGGTTTGTTTAATTACAAGTTTGTCATCCACGTTATAAACTCTATAAAGAGGATTGTTTTAGGGTTCTAAAGAATTAGAGAAATCAGAGAGGTGAGATTCTAACCAAGAGATTAGGGTTTAGAGAGAATTGGGAGATTGTTCTTGATTCTAGAGATATTGTGAGAGAGGGGTTTATAATCTATTATTCTCATAATCTAGAGAATGTATTTTTCTTCACCAAAACTAAATTATTCTTGTGTTTTCTATCGTCTTCTTCTTAACCCACTCTTGATAATTTCGTGATCAAGGGTGCTCATCCGACGACTCGTATCAAGTTGGTGTCAGAACGATTAGATCCTATGAAGGGGGGGAGATCCTATGTATGGTCCTTACTCGATCATAATACAAGAAGCTAGGCGAGATTCTTATTTCTTTAGAAGGAGTTCAGAGATTAAGGAAGAAGAAGATGACTGAAGGAGATAGTTCAGTGAGACTTGATGCATTGGAGAAAAAGATGGAGACAATGAGTTCGACTCTCACACAGCTCGTCCATCTTTTTCAAGGAAAGGACAAAAATAAGGAATCATCTTTAAAATGCAAGAAGAAACTTGTAGAGTCCGATGGGGAAGGTAAGGAACCTGATTCTAAAAAGGAGGCCGAAATTATCAAGACTGTTCTACATCAAGGGGGTAAGGGTTCTTACTAGAATTTGAAAATAGACTTCAAGATGGAGATTCCTGTTTATAGTGGGAGTGTCAACGTTGAGAGGCTTTATGATTGGATCGAGCGGATGGAGACATATTTTACCCTCTACGGATATTCATCCAAGGAGAAACTCGTGTTCGCGACTTTAAAGCTTTCGGGGCATGCATTGACATGGTGAAAATCCTATTGCAAGTAGGAAAGGAAGGCGGTGTCGTGGAACAAATTCAAGGAGCTACTGAGAAAGCAGTTCTACCCGGTGGGGTTTCTTGAGGAGCGTTGGTACAAGTGGTATAGCTTGCACCAAAGAGTTAATCAAACCGTTCAAGAATACACCACAGAGTTCCAACAACAAGCGATGGTCCTCAATATTATGACGGAGGAAATATTTTATGTTTATGAAGTATATGGCAGGTTTGAGCGAGTACATCCGGAAGGAGATGAAGCTATTCATGGTGGAATCTATTACAGATGCGAGCGTGAAGGCTATTGCCATCGAAGGCAAGCAGAAGAGGAGCAACGGATCCAAAGGAGAGGCTAAACAAACTAGAGGCGGGTCTAGTGGTTCTCAATCTAAGGAGGAGAAAAAGAAGGGTGATCCAGAGAAAGCAAGGCTGATTTGTAGTCATTGCAAGAAGACATGACACGTAGCTGATCGGTGCTGGGAAAAGTATCTTCATCTCAAACCAAGGGGGTTTAAGAAGAAGGAGGAGAAAAAAGCATACGTGATAGCTCAAGTTCCGAAAGAAGTCTCGGGGATAACAGAACCCAACAATAGTCTCAATCTTATGACGGGAAACAGATCACGAAAGAGGATGACAACCCTAGAGAGCAGCTCTTTATTCTTAAGTTGCAGGTGAAGACCAGTTTGGTTGATGCCGTAGTTGATCCAGGCAGCAAGAAGAATTTGATATCCAAGGCCTTGGTTCAGAAGCTGGGTCTGAAGACAGTCAAGCATCCAAAGCCCTATCCATAGGGGGTAGATTCAGAAAGAGACGGGACTAAGTGTAGTTGATCAATGCACTTTCAGATTTGCTCTCCATGAGTCACATATTAACGAGGTCACGTGCGACGTAGTTCCATTAGATGTTTGTCAGGTTATACTGAGCAATCCCTATTTGTGGGATAGATACGGGATCTACGAGAGGCGGGTTCAGAAGTACACATTCACCAAAGATGGTGAAAAGTTCATATTTCATTCGACATCTCTTCCGAAGGAGAAAATCTTAGTGACGGTGAACCGAGCGAAGAGGTTAGTGAATGCAAGAAATAAGTTCGTTACGCTATGCATTAGTTCTTATGAGGAGCCACTGAAAGAGGGTTGCAATTTGGAGCGGAAGGTGACTATGACGAGACGCGGGATGAAGGAGTTGTTTTTGATCTGAGGTCGAGACCAGATTCCTTGCAAGGCCAAGTAGTTCAGAAAAGAAGGAGGGGCCCGCAAGTTCCCTCAGCTACAGTTATAACTTGAACGGGACTTTAAGTTCCTAAATGAGGGAGTCATGGTATGGGTGTATCTTCTTCCTTGCTTCGGGAGCTTAGCGATCCTCATGGGAGCTTGAGGATAGATGATTCTCATGATATCTTGAGAATAGAGATGTGGACGAAGTCGTTGAAGGTGGAAAATGCAAAGATTACAGAAGAAACTGCAGGAAACATTTTAAGCATCCACCGGTCGACCGCACGTGGTGCTGCGGTTGACCGCGAACGTGCACAAATCCTGGGAGGCCTCTGGACTTTTGGCAGTCGATCGTAGCGACGTGTACGGTCGACCGGTCAAACCTTGTAATAGGTTTTGGTTTCTGTCGTTGGATCCGGTCGACCGCGATGGTCTCTGCGGTCGACCGTGACGGTTTCCTAAGCCTTCCTGGTTCGTTTAGGACTATGTTTTTCTGTTTGATTTTTGTTTGTTATCATGCATAATAACATGTTATAAGAAAATTATTTTTTACTAGTTGTAGGTTAAATACAAGTTTAAGAAATTTCTAAGTTTGATCATAGCTCCAAGCAAATGATCATCACTGTACATAATATAATAAAATAAGTTCTAATGATACTATAACAATTATAGAAATGATACACAAATTATATGTGCAACAATTAAATTTAAGAATATTACATAGCATTGGATGTTCAAGTGTGTATTATTACTTCTCCCAAAACTTAGTTTAAAACCATTTTTTGCTATGTCAGTATTCTGGAAAGAAGAGAAGTTTTCGGCATTTTATGCTATCATGTACCTCCTTTTTTCTTTTTCTTTTTTTTTCTTTTCACTGTTTTTTATATGTCAAGGTTAAAGAATGATTTATGTGGTTTCTAGCTTGGGCTTTGAAATACTGAACTTCTTACATCCATGAGAATAATCGTAATAGGGGGGAAAATTCCCTCCGCTCACAAGTCCCATATTTAGGGGGTGTTTGATTCATTTCCTAAAATAATAGGACTAGGAATCCAGTACTAAAAAACTATTTTTTCAAAGGTTTCCTTGTAATTCTTGAAAAAGTTTTTTTTTTCTTTTTTTTTGTTAGGTGTCAAATATTGGATGGAAACCACTTCTCATCATTTTCTCTAGTTTGTTTCAAAAGCAAAAAAAAAAATAAATAAATAAAATCACAAAATAAGGAAAAGGTTTACCCTTTTTTTTTTGTTCGCTGGCTAACCCCATTGAAAAATGGGATCATACCCCAAAAATAGTGCAAAAGTGGTTACACTATGGTTGTAGCAGTGACTTTGGGCATATTTGAGCCTATAAATTTGTGATGACCCTCAGGTTTATATCGCCAATTTTCCTATTTACTTTGGAGGAGCATAAATCATCAAAATGACAACAATTGAAGGGGTTGCTGAAAATAATATCAAACAACATAGAATGCTAAGCATTAATCAACCTGAAAGAAGTATTCCAACAATTGAAACAAGCAGCATAGTATAGAATGCTATTAAGTAGTTAAAAGCACAATAAAGAAATTAGCAGCAATTTTTGGAGCATGCTAATGAAATTTGCTATATTTCAGGTTCTTTTACAGACTATAATTAGTTTTCAACATTTTGCACATATAGGCACCATAAATGTCCATCATACATCAACCCAAAATATACATATAATGCTCAATATAGAGCAGCACGCATTAAGCTCCAATTAGAGCATGAATTTCACAAAAGTATCGCACAATTGACATGTGCAACGACCACAAAATAGACAGTAAGTTTGCATCATGTATCAACCCAAAATATGCATCAAGTTTGTATCATTAGACACTCCAAAATAGACACTTAGTATGCTCCACCCACCACCCCAAAAAGCTTCCAAGCATCTTACTACATCAGTCATTGTCATCAAACTTTTCATTATCAATAAGTTTAGTAACGTACCTCTTTCGTGCCTCCTTTGTTTTGCCAATAATTCTTCTAGCCTCATGTTGATTATCATGTAAATGATCAAAGATCTTGTCCAAAACTATTTCAAAAAATTCATATGCATGAGCATTCAAAGCCTTGGACAACTTCTCAGTCCAATTAATCATATTCTGGTTTTGAATGGAGTAGGACATTGTTTCAACAAAGTTACACATCAAGTCATCATCATTAGAGGACTTACTCCCTTTTTTCTTTGAGGATGTCTTCACATTGGAAGTAGTTGGCAAAATACAATTAAGATAGTTGTTTGTAGGAGGCAGATTCACATTACCCTCATTTGGTTGAGCATTAGCATTTTCAGGTTCAACATCAACTTGGTCATTGTCATCATAAAACTCATCAGGAATGTCAATAGTGAGAAACTTACCATACACATCTTTCGCAAAGTCACCACAAGATTGGTCCTCACCCATGATTATTTGTAAATTATGGTAGTGAACAAGGGCTTGTTTATATACTCCCTGAGCCTAGAGCTATTAGGTTTCCTTTCCTACAATTAAGTAAGTAGACAGTATTACGTCAACACATATTATCAAGACAGTGGAAAATGAAACAAATTGCTAAAGAGAACAATATATGAAATACGATACAATCAAATAGTAAGTAAATAAATATATACCTGGGTCCATCTATCAAACGAATCCACATCCATTTTGATTGTCTTTGTGTCTTCGTCCCAACCAGCCCCACTCATGTGCATGCAAGTCAACATGTCATTGAATTTTGACCTTAAACTTTTCAGATGGTTAATGACATTTTCAGCTGTGAAATCTATTCTGAATTTGCTATTAATCTCAGATGCAACCATTACAAATGCAGGTTTCTTGAAATTTTTATCAACTTTAAAACCTTCCTTTGCTAATTTGGCAAGATAGGGTATATATATTAGAACATCATCATAAGCAGCAGTCCAAAACTTGACTGAAACCCCCCTTGAGTTAACCGGACTTTGCCTAATTGTTAAACCAGTTTTCCTCCTTTCCACCACCTTTTTTTTTTTTTGGTGATTGTTCATCAGCATCACCTATTTCAGCCCTCTAAAACCACTGGCATTTGCGAATCTTGCTCCTTCTATATCACTAATTGGAGAAAGGGGATTTCCATTACCTTGTGAGCTATGACCCGTATGAATTATAGGATGTGGAGAGTCTAACATCCCCATGTATGTTACAGGTTGCTGTGACATACCATGGTAGTTACCTTCATAAGTTGGATAGCTTGGAAAATGAGTAATAGGTGTTGTGAAATGAGGTGGTTGATATGGCATATAGTTCATATTGAACCCAATTGACAGAGGTGGTTTTGGTGTGGTAGGAGATGGAGTGCTGACATTTTCCAAGCCCTTTTTTCAACATTCTCATTGGTAATTTTTCAGCCATACCTATTGAATATCAAGTCATGCACATTGAATTATGTTATGACTTAAAGCATATACAAATGCATAATATGACTATTAATTGCTCGATAATGTCTTAGATAATAAAATGATACCAAACGCAAAAGTACATAACATATTAAAAAGTCATTACAAGATTACATAAAACAAACATAAATTTCCAAATGAATAGCACATGACATAATTACTAAATGAAAACACTTTAATTTTTACATGTCAGTCTCAGTTGTGTCGCCTCCACGATACCTCCAACAATAATCTTCCCACATTTACCATGCAATTTGATATCTACGCCCTTTCCATTCAATACGTAAATCTCTATCCTCCCTTTGTGTCATAGTTTGAGTGTAATCAACAATATTTTCATCATTCTCATTTCTCACATCTCCATCATCTTCCTCAATAGGAGTAACCTCATTAATAAAGTCATCTCCAAGATCAACTATGGCAATATAGTCGTGAAGGACAGTACATGCCAAAACGATATCCACTTGTGTAGGAAAAGGGTAATGTGGCTTGGCCGAGAGAATCTTAAAGCGATTTTTTAAACATCCAAATGTTGATTCAATTTTAGATCTTAAAGAGGAATGTCTTAAATTGAACAAGTCTCTTCTATTGTTTGTTGTTTTCCAACTATGTTCTTTCAAGTGATAACGAACCCCACGATATGACGAGATGAAACCAGGCATGGTACTATAGTCCGCATCACATAAATAATGATTTCGTATAATTTAACAATGGAGATTGCTCAACGGACTTATCATTTTAATTAACTAACACTGACAAAGGTTATCTAGTACATCACAAACTTTTAAAACATGTGTTTGTGGTTTTGAAAGTGCATCTTGTAAGATCCTATAATCATTCGCGGAACTCTCCCAACCTGCTAGCACATATGTGAATAATTTATTAGGGGTGCAAGCTGCAAGGACATTCTGTGTCACTCCTTTACGACCTCTAAAACGTGCAACAATTGGCATAGGTATCATAGCGTCAACATGAGTTCCATCTATCATGCCAATGCAATCCTATAACATATAATAAATATGTAAGTAATCATATGATCGCAAATTGTACATATATTGTATATTTATAAGTATGAACTATTTTACCTTGAAATAGTGGCGGTATGTTGAACTATTTGTAATTTCTGGAGGCACTTCATTTGGTGCTTACTTCATATAACGACCACGTAACGTACAAATAGCTCCTAGAACTTTGTTGAAGTATCTACTTAATGTTTCTCCAGATCTTATAAAATCTGTCCGGATAACTCTGTTCTTAGTTTTATGGCTCACTATACTCAAAAATATGGCAACCTGCTCTTCAACTTTCACATTTCTCGTGTCCTTTAACAAATTACTAGATCACATAATTTCAACAAGCTTTAAAAACACCCTTTGCCTCATCCTAACAAGTCCCTACAACTATTAGTATACCCTTCAACTAATGCACATGCAACCTATGAAGCACGGATACGGACACGGACACGGGGACACGGACATGACACAGACACGGACACAGCAAAACCCAAAAAAATAGGACACGACAACATGACTATATTTTTTTAATAATATTATTATATATAAATAAATTTAAAATGTAACAATAACCCTAATTAAATGGAACACTAATTTAATTAACAGTAAATTCACGTGAAAACAGTAAAATCTTCATATGTATATTCAGAGAGAGAAAGATAGACGGATTCAGAGAGAGAAAGAGAATCAGAGAGAGAGACGAAGAGATCCAGAGAGAGATGAAGAGATCGGTCGAGAGAGACGAAGAGATCGGGAGAGAGACGAAGAGATCGAGAGATCGAGAGAGAGACGAAGAGATCGAGAGAGATCGAGAGAGAGAGAGAGAGAGACTGACCTAGCAGCGACGAGCCGACGAGGACGAGCCGACAAGGAACCGAACGACCAATCCTCAAATAGAGACCGAAAAGGATTGCTGCGCGGCGGTGACTCTGGAAGTGAAGAAATTAGGGTAAAGTGGGTTTCGGTTTTTTTTTTGGGCGTGTCGGGGTGTTGACACGTGTCGAGGGCGTTGACCGCGTGTCCGACGCGTGTCGAACGTGTGTCGAACGTGTGTCGAACGTGTGTCGAACGCGTGTCCGCGTCCGACACACGTCGGACACGGACTCGGGGCCAAGTTTCGTGTGCCGGTGCTTCATAGCATGCAACGTCTCTAGCAACAAACAGCTATGTCAATTGTTGTGTGTTTCTCTCCTCTTTCCAACAACTTATCCAAATAAACCTGCAGATTACAAGTATTAAACAAAGAGTTTTTAATTAAAACACGCTTAATAAGAACATAGGAAAGTAAGCATATCAACCACCAACTTACCTTCACAGACCCTCCTTTTATGTACTCCATAACAATTATAAACTATTAAACTACAACAACTTATTTTCTCCATCTACTGGAGAAGCCAACTTGTGAGAAAGCTGGTGACTGTAGATTTCAACATACAGCTGTGTTTTCTCAAAGCACCAAAGCATTCTAACCTCTGCTAAGAATGACTTTTCAAAATTCTGTATCTCCTCCACTGATGCCCTGTAAGATTCCAACTTGCGAACTTGGATAACTTTCACTAGTCAGCATCATCAATACAACATATTCCAAGAGGATTATAGAGCTATAGTGCAAAAGAGAAGCAAAAAACGGTATTGCATAATGTAATAAATAGAAATGAACAGCTGTGAGTGAGACAAAGGTGAATATGCATGTGGAATTTCACATAAATATATGAAACCTGATGCATCTGCAAAATGACATATTTAGGCGTGAATGTGTACCCTCAGAGCAGCATCAACTGCCCCAAACTTGAAATGAAATAACAGATCAGGATTTCGTTTCTCAGCCTCATGGGAAGGCAACGTTGAAGACAAGGAACATCTGAAATAAGGACTTTCAGTTTGCAAGGGAAGCTGGATCTGGCAAAGAGGGAAGTATCTGAAACAAAACATGACTCGTCAATCTAAAAGAGAAAACTTGCACACGCCCATGTGTGCGCACACACACACATCAATATAAAAATGAGAACAAACCGAGTAAGTGAGTGAGAAAAAAATAACCTGCGGTAGTACTCTGCATCAGTTTCCTCTCTTATGTCTGCTGGATGACATGCATTAACGACCATCCTTGCAAATGAATTACCTTCCTTGACAAGAATGGCATTCCAGGCATGTGGTGTGAAATCCAGGTATCCGCTTACAAGCTCGCAGGGGATCGAAGGGTATCCTTGATCACACAGATACTGCAACATTTTGAAATCTTTATCAGCACACTGAAATAATTGGAAACCTACTTCACATACTCTCATATAAGTAAGAGATAAGACATTTATCTTCTTACGAACAGCTTTGTACCTACAAACACCAAAATCCAAGGCTCCTACAAGCACCACAATGAAATTGCGTCAAGCCTTGATCAACCGTAGAGAATTATTACACAACTCCTCATAGTCGAAGTTTATAGCTGTTAGATATTATTAATACTTAGATCTAGTAGATATTATGAGATATTGTGAGATGTGGTTAGATATAAATTTATCTCATACCTATTTGTAATATCTTCCTAATATCTACTTAAGAGATGTTTGGGTTAAATGAATAATAATCTCTGTCTTTTCTATTTCTCTACATGGTATCAAAACAGTAGTTCCACGATGAACAGTACAGAGGTCACTGATAAACAGTAGCAAACGGGGACAATACTCTCGCCTGCCCATCTTCTGGTGATCGCCTTCATCGTTCAACCCTTTGATCAGATTCTCTAGACTTTGTTACTCTTTTTTAGCAAGATGCCAAGATGTATTGATTTTATCTTTCCATTAAAAAAACCAAAATCAAGATTGAGAGAGCAAGCAATGGATCAATCATGTGTTTTCTTTTTTTTTCTTCTTTATTGTTACTATTGGCTTACCCGCCTAGAATTTCTACTTATTCATCTAGTGTTATCGAGGTGCGCGCCCCGAAAGCCAAGCGCTACAGACTGGGGTAAATCCGCCCCGCACCAGAGGCGGGGCGCTACAGGCGCCTGCATCGGGGCACAACGAATCATGCGTCTCACAATTTGAAATAATTGGGGCTTTGAGATGACCCGAAACCCGTTTTTTCATAAACCCATCTTGTAAAATTAAAAGGGTTTTGAGTTTAGGGTTTCAAAACCTGTCGTTCTCTCATTCTCTCCTCTCTCTCACGCACCTGCTCCCTCTCTCTCTCTCTCTCTCTCTCTCTCTCTCTTCGCCTGCTCCCTCCCCGACCCCGACGAGTCAGCCAACGACGACAATCATGTTTGTTAATCACTTAATTGTTACTTAAAAATACATATTTCATATTTTAAATGAAAATACATATTTCTTATTTGTTACTTAAAAAAGTCAGTGAGCATAGTTTGATGATTTAAGTTGATATTTCTATAATTTTGGGTGGAGGTGACTAATAAACTTGAGTAGGCATCGGTGAGTGTGAATAGAGGTAGAAGACAAGATCCTACTTAGAAGTACACTTCTCTAGTTGAGGAAGGGAATTCCAACAAGCACAAGTGCATTTATTGTAATAAGATCACGAATGGCGGCATATCAAGGCAAAAGGAACATCTTATCGGAACAACGAGGGCACATAAAAATGTTTCCCTTTGCAAAAAAGTTTCTTCGAATGTGGTTGATGAGCTGAAGGATTATAACAAAAGACAAGTCATTGTTAGAAGACAAAAAACCATAGAAAATTATATGTCGGATCTTGAAGATGATGACATGATTGGAATAGAGAAATTGACGAGGTTGAAGTCGAACAAGGATAAGCAAGTAGGAATAGCGAAAAAGGTGTATTGCCTCCTAGATCTATCTTCCTTTTATATGAAAGGAATGGAAGTCTTGGCATGCATAGTGAGGGGTCTTCGATAAAGAGGAAGAGGCCCATGGATTCATTTCTCTCATTCGACCCGGCACTAGAAAGGATGATAAAAGGCGAAAATTGCGACAAACAAGCATTAAAGATGGCCTCAACAAAGATGCACATGCAGTTGCTAAAGTGCATCAAGATATTGCTCGTTGGTGGTAGCAAGCGGAAATTTCTTTTAATGTTGAACGACTTAGATCCTTCAAGATTATGTTTGAGTCAATGGGGCTTTTAGGCTTAACTTGCCACCTCTAACATTCCACCAATTACGGGAGTCATTACTTAAGAATGAGAAGTATACCGAAGATCTTATGCAACCTCATAAGGAGATTTGAGCCAAAAAAGATGCTCTTTTATGTCGGATGGTTGGACTGACCGGAATGATAGGACTTATAATCAAACTTGCAAACATAGATGGTCTTTTAAGATTATTTTACAAATGTGAAAACTTTTTCAAATCAAAATAATATTTGGTCAAATGATCAAATCTACCATAATAATCACACTTAAACACATTTACATGCTTATGATGAACAATGGGTGCATGTGCATGTGTGTGTGATGAAAAAACTTTATGAGATGCACAAGGAGCATTAATATTTTTATGTTTGTGTGCATCATAGCAAAATTTAGCTAAATGGTTTTTTTGACCGTAAATAGAACATTTGTAAATTTTATTCTACATATGTGCATAGTAAGTGTGTGGTTTGGAAGAATTAGCACAAGACTTTACACATAAGTCCATAAGTTTCTTGTTATTAATAATGCATGTATTAAGAGTTGAATCTAAAGATAAAATGTGATTTTTAATATTGTTCAACTCAACATTAGGCATAGAAGCATTGTCAATAGAAGTAGAAAGAGCATGATCATTCTTAAATGAATTAAATTCATTTCTAATAGTTTCTACCTCTAGCATGGCATCAATCTTAGCATGAAATAGGCTAGCAATTGATGAGATCAATTTTTTATTTTCTAAATTTAACATATCATTGTTTTTTTTAAGCTTTATATTCTCTTTTTTAATGATATCAAATTTGGAAGTTAGTGTCTAAATTCACATGCTTGTTTTTTAAATCAATAAAATTATTATGCAACTTAGAGTAGGCATGCATTAACCTATTGTTGGACTTTTGGTTCATGAAAAGGTAATTTTACCTTTGTGAATAGTCCTACATCGAAAAATGAGAAGTTTAAAAAGTTTATAATGGTTCGCATCTCAATGGGCTTTGAGTTAGTGTTTGGGCCTAGTGTTGTTTGGGCTGTTGTTCCACACACGCGCGCACGCATGCCACGCCTCACCTCGACACGACGCGCGCGCCACGCCGCACCGCACTCGCACGAGTTTTTTACCTCTCAAGTTTTATTTTTTACACGTTTTACACAAGTTTGTAACGGTTACGGGAGTTATGAAAACGTATAACGGACGCGGGATTTCTGTGTAACGTCTGCGGACTACCAGCGACGGTTAAGAAGAGCAAGGGCTATATAAAGAGCTGAAGCTCATTCGGAAGAACAACAGCAACAAGAAGAAGTGAGAAAAAGAAACATCTAATCCTCTCTTTCCCTCAAAATTCTGAGAGCTACGCTTTTCCTCAAAAAATTTCCTAGT